GCCCTTGTACCACGTATGCAGTAAAGCAAAGGCCTGTGATTATAGGAGACTCCTTAATTCCTGGTTACCCATCAATAGTTTTCCTCATCCTTTGTTTGCCTGTCTCCTCTCCAGGCTGCCCGAAATTGTTTGGTGGGAGAAAACCAAGTCATCAAGGTGTCAGACTTTGGGATGACAAGGTAAAACAGGCGTGTGGGGCCAGCAAAGTCTCAGGAATGGGACTCAGGCCTCCGGAACATTCTGACCTTCTCCCTCCACTCTCTTCCCAGGTTCGTTCTTGATGATCAATACACCAGTTCCACAGGCACCAAATTCCCAGTGAAGTGGGCGTCCCCAGAAGTTTTCTCTTTCAGTCGCTACAGCAGCAAGTCGGACGTGTGGTCATTTGGTGAGTGCCATCCCGGCCCCACCCCCGCACAGTCTGGGACTGCAGGCCAGCTGTTTCCTTTGTCAGATGCAGGCAGCCCCGCCCGCCCTGAACCTGCATTGTGAGGGCACCCCACTGGCGGTCTGTGTAAGAAAGGCCCTGACATGTAGGAAGGGGCTCTTGTTACTGTGTTTATTCTTGGAGATGTGCGAAATAGGAGAGGGTGGGTAAAAATAAAAGTGGAAACAGGGTTCTGGTGGCAGCTGCTGTGAGGTCAAAAGCTGGAAGAGTGAGGAGATTTGCATATGAGCTCCTTGTTTTGTCCAACACTATATTCCCTCATTTAACCCTCAATAAGTATTTTTCTCATTCATTCAACAACAATTCACTGAGCATCTATTACATGCCAGTGGCTAACCTCGGTGCTAAGCATGCCATGGTACATAGCGTAGAAGAGATTTCTACCCTCTTGGAGCTAAGTTTTAGAGGGAAGGAGAGACAGATAACAGTCACATAAACAAGCTGACATATAGAAGATAAAGTCATGCAGTAAAGAAAGGAACTATGAATAAAATAAGACAGTAATGGGATGGAGTGAGTGGAATGGAAGATGGCGAATTCAATCTCTTAGGAGAAAAATGAGTTTCAAAATCCTCAGCATTTTAGAATATCCATCTCCAGGTGCCACGTGGTTTGTTAATTATCATTCCTGATCTGTTCCTTAAAACAGTTCCCCAATTCGCCAGGCCTAGCTGCTACTTTGTTAGCCAGTTGTAAGTTACAGAATGAACTTGGAAGACATTGTTCTGACACCCTTCTTGGACGGCTCTCCTCTCTGCAGCGCAATAACCAGGAAGTTAGGGCTGACGTGCAGCCGTGTCTCTGTGAGTGATGAAGCTGATCACACTGTGCCCAGCCAAGGCCCTATAAAGACATATTTGGAGCAACTGACCACTTGGCACATTTGCCCTCTGACCTGAATGGGGTTTATTCAGCCACAGGGTGTCAGCCTGGGAATTTTCTGCTGCATCTTATCATTAGAGGGTTGGGCTGAAATTTCTCCCTGCGTAGGATGTGTCATTTGAAGAGTCCAGAGATGAGGTTGGTGGCTGGATGCAGAATAGAAAGGGTTCAGTGAAGAAAGTGTGAGAAAACCAGGGTGGCAGCCTGAGCCACAGAAACATGAGTGGGCTGAGGGCTCCGTGCCTGCCTCTGTCCATTGGACTTCTTCATCATTTTAACTTCGTGCCCTAATTAGCTGTGTGCTACTTTGAGCAAGTAACCTTTTTGTGCCTCACTCAGTTTTCTCCCCTATGCATTAGACGGTTTGTATTAAATATTAAGGCACTTGCTTTCAAACTGTTTTAGCAGCAGTCCCAATTTTCAAAAGAAATCTCACTAGAAATCCTAGCATCTTGGGGTGCTAAGCATTCTTATTTATGGTCAGGTGCTGAATTTCCAACTCCCAAGGCACCTCTAAGGACCCTCTAGAAATTGTGGTCCACTGGGTCTGGGCTGGGGCCCAGGAATCTGACATTGGCACAGACGTCTGAGATGATTGTTATTCAGGCATTTGTAGGATCATACCTTGGGAAACTCTGCCCTAAGATTCTCTGCAATATACTTTGAAAAGCTCTGCGGTAGGTGATCTGCAATCTCCCTTCCTGCTCTGATAGCCTGTGACTATACTAGCACATGATAAATTTGGGTGTGACATTCTACCAAGGGCAGAAGAGGAAAAAAGATTCAATCGAAAGTCAAAAATGGACGACAACCCAACAATGTGTTTTGCTTGGTCTACACAATATTTACATTTTTTAACTCTGAACTTCTGACTTCTTTTAGAACATCAGAAGATGGGACAATCCTGAGACCTCATTTCTATGTGTCATACTTTGGCTGACACCAAATCATAGCTGTCTCCTTAAGACAGAACTTTTGATCTCCAGTTTTCCACAGTCCTCACTAGTCCCTATTGGTCACATCTCACCCATTCCATTCATTTACATCATGTGTGTAGACATTTGAGTTTAAGTCCCCTGCAACTTTTAGTCATAGCCTTTGAGTTAGATATAACAAAGGACTGAGCTTAAAAATCCTTCTCCACTAGGAAGGCTGGGAAATTACAATTCTTTAAAAATAGGACAGGCCCAATAAGCCTTAGGTGGGCTTGATGGTATACTTCTGGAGGTAAGGGCTTGAACCCTAATGCCAAGGAATCTGTAATTTCTACAGGTAGGTTTGTTTGCTATTTTTGGCCTTTGTCATTAGCTGTGTGGTGCTCATCTTTTCTCATAGGCGTGCTGATGTGGGAGGTCTTCAGCGAAGGCAAAATCCCGTATGAAAACCGAAGCAACTCAGAGGTGGTGGAAGACATCAGTACTGGATTTCGGTTATACAAGCCTCGACTGGCCTCCTCGCATATCTACCAGGTCATGAATCATTGCTGGAAAGAGGTCAGTAGAGGAAGTGGTTTGCCCCTGCATTATAATATACAATTTCAGGGCCTGCCCCCTCCCTAGAAAAAAGAACCGTCTTAGAAAGATGAGGCAGCAAGGATGACCAAAATCGATTAGCAAAACGTGACTTTAAGGGTCTTTGTTATTGTTTTTTAGAGACAGTCTTGCTCTGTCACCCAGGCTAGAGTGGAGTGGTACAATCATAGCTCCCTGTAACTGCGAACTCCTGGGCTCAAACAATCCTCCTGCTTCAGCCTCCTGAATAGCTGGGACTATAGGCGTGTGCAACCACGTCTGGATAATTTTTTTATTTTTATTTTTTTATAGAGACAGGGTCTCACTATGTTGCCCAGACTGGTCGCAAACTCTGGGGCTCAAGTGATCCTCCCACCTCAGCCTCCGAAAATGCTGGGATTACAGGTGTGAGCCAGCACACCTGGCCTTTAAGGGTCTGTTAACTGGATAGATTCCCCAGTCCTAACAGAGCTAACAACC